CAACTGGCTTTTGCATTGGGTTTGGCGTACCTCAGAAAAACCAAAGTCCAACAGCCTGTGTGCACAAAGTCCCATATGGGTGTTTAACCCTTGTGTGAACGGGGAAGGTTAGGGCCAGCAACCCTTGGGGGGGTTAGGATTAATTATAAATGTTAATTAATGCTAGATTTTTGCCCTGCCTGATGTGTATTATCATACTATATACTCAGTGTTTGCCCTGTGATGACCGGGTCTCAGATTTTTCTGAAGTGAGGGGTTTTGAAGTGTTAAAAACTGCTGTGCAGTGTCCATCGGTGCCACGTAAAGAGTACGTCCAGGGCGAGCGCCAATCACTGGCTCAGAGTTGACCGCTCAAAAGAACTGCGGAAGGTTTCAAATGCTGTTTAGTCTGCAGAGGGTTACCTGAACATGTTGTCGATTGTGCATGCTATCTCTCCAAGCAAAAGTGTTGATAGGTTGTAAAGTGTTCAAATACTTTCATGATTAAAGAAACTTTGTCACCCTAGCGCATGTACATGTTCAGAGTTTAGAGAGTGAGGTTGCTGTTTTGGAACTGAGATCTCAAACACAATTAAGCTGTGTTCCCTTTCCATTCAGAATTACAATTTTGAGCCCAAGGTCAATTTTGTCGTCCAATTTGCAGGGTTTTGAGTGGAACAAATACAACCAAACTCATTATGACATGGACAACCCTCCACCCAAAGTGGTGCAGGGCTACAAGTTCAATGTAAGTATGCCAAGTCAAGTTGCTCTGATGTCACTATAGGTTTTATTGGAGCCATCTACTCAGTTTACATACATACCAGATCAGGCCAGGTGCTGTTGAAAAGCTTGCATGGTGCATTAAGCTTGATTCCCTCGCAAACTGCCCTACACTGTGCTCCCACCAGAAATAAAGGGTGTCACATGCCAGCTCTTAGGCAGTTTGAAGCAGAACACATTTCCTTCTTTAAAATCAGACACTGATGAATGCAAGTTGTATTTTTCAAAAAGGATTTGTTGGAATTTGCAAAAATTGTCTCAGCTAATAATTCAGAAATCATAGATACCGTGTATAATGGGCTTGCTATTTTGGTTCGGATATTGGCTGGCCAGACACTTACCATAGACCTATACTTTAGGATACATGTACATTTAATTACAGCCCTTGCGAAGATGCGTCGGTTTGTTTGCCAGCTGCAATAACATCACATATAAATATAAGTCGCTTAATTTACTTCCAATTTCAAATTCCGCTCAAAAGCTCACAGGCTGATAAATTGCAGACCCACTTGGCAGTTTAGTCGGAATGAAGGGTTTCATTTGTGTCGCAAAGAAAGGTTGCCATGTCATGTTCAAACCTAAAGGCAGGCCTTTACAATGATGACACCACAATCTGCTCCCATGCGCACTTTCCTGTGGAGCCAGTGGGGCCCATGGTCCACTGAGCACCGCCGGAAAGCACACAGGTGAACAGAGCATTGCGCCATCAGCACCGAGGTTGAATATTACAGCAGTGGTATTTTCTAAACATGCCGTTTCCAGTTCGGCCATATTTGAAGCTGCCCTGTAGCCAGCGTTCTGCAGTTTCTCTTTCAAGTGACGAGTGACCTGTCATTTATTTGCCTGTAGATATTTTACCCCGATCTCATCGACAAACGAAAGACCCCAGAGTACACACTGACGCCGTGCCCCGAGAATGAGGACTTTGCTGTTCTGCAGTTCCACACAGGCCCCCCATATGAGGTAATGACATTTCTCTTTTGTGGAGGATTATCGACTTGTAAAATCCTTCAACGGAACAGATAGAAGTGGTTCCTTGAACTTTCTTTGTGCAAACCGGTTTAAGATAAAATAGTGAAATAGAAGGATGACGCCAACGTTGTACACTAAGGCCAAGTTCGACACTCTCCCTTACAGGTTTTTTTTTTTTTGTATCCACTGTTTTGGACCCTTCTGTCATTTTCTGTCTCCAGGACATCGCCTTTAAGATCGTCAACCGCGAGTGGGAATACTCCCACCGGCACGGTTTCCGTTGCCAGTTCAACAACAGCATCTTTCAGCTCTGGTTCCGCTTCAAACGCTACCGCTACCGCAGATGAGACTGATGACAGAGACCCGCTTGGGACGATAGGGGTTTTAATTTGTTTTTATTCTTTACATTTTGAAAGGGGGGGTTGTAATGATAAACTGTTGTAATGTTTGTGAATATTTGCCAAGATGTAACATCAGCCTACTTGGCTGTTTATAACCTTGAACAGGAGTCAGACTATTCCCTGTGACATATCAAACAGATGGTACACATTTACATGGATAAGAACGTTCGGTAACGTTTACATGATGACGTTCACCCTGCTTGATGCGATGCACACCACGACAACTGTCAGTATCGTGTTGTAATAAAGTGGTGTCGTTACACTGCTGTAATACCCGAAGGTTAAATTGGGCAGAGAGATCCCAACTTTATCATTATGGCATGACACTATTTATCCTGAAAGCTTTTGGGTGTTTTTATGCGATAAGACAGAAGGCATCTTAAAAGGGGGATTCCTGATACAAAAGTGTTGCAGTTGGAATAAAACCGTAAAGCACAGTAGCCATCTGTAAGAGGCCAGTTCAGTATTTTGACCAAGAATGCTCATTTGCAACTACTGCATTTGGATTGGAAGTCCCCCATGACTGCAGACCCTACTGCTTTATTGCATGGCGTGGCAAGCCTAATTTGTGTACATGTAAGAGTTGGGCTCCACACTGTGCATTCACATGTACATGAGCGATACAGTGTACCAGGTATCAGTCATACGGTCTAAGTAACTTTATACTAATTGTGCAGAGTACAGGCGTATCATTTAACAATTGTTGATTGCTGTGATGTGGGATATGACATTTTGAACATCTGAGGGACACACAGCGCCCCGGGGCAAAGCCGTGGGTGCTATGCATGCCAGAGGGTGTTTAAAACATCATGTCCCACATCACAGTAGTCGACAATTGTTTTGTCATACGTGTACCTCTGTCTTAATTATGTTGAGGCTGAGGAATTTATCCAAAGAAAAAACGAGCTCAAAATTTCAGAACTGAGTTCAGAAGATGATAGGCCTACTATCAAACTGCATAATTAACATAACAGACGTAAACAATATCGTCTGCGAAGGCACTATTGCCTAACCTTCTTTAATTGCGTAAACTTTAATATGAAAGTAGTGCGGATAGTCTGGTTAGCCGTCCCTGCATTGCCTTACATGCTGCTGGGACGGGAACGAGTCTGTTATATGAGCATGACCATTGATTTAATTCAATGGAAGATGCAGTAACCTATGCACAAAACGTATCATGGGTACCACGCAAAACTGACTAAATGAGCGACTACGGTCACTCTCAAAATTCCCGAAGCTCTTTTTTCTTGTGTGCGTGCACATGCTATCGGCACGAGATGTCTCATGGCAAGTGTGATATGTGGATATATCGCCTTGTCATGTGATGTGATCGTATTGGGCCAATGAACTGACAGTATCCAAGACAGAGGTATGAAAATTCCAGATAGCATTTGATTGAAGGCAAACATTTCTTTTTTTCACAGCTGTGGATGATTAAGATTTTTCATTAACTGGCATATGTACATGTACGTGTAGATTGGTATTTGACATTTCAGGACCCAACTGGTACCCTTAGACATGTACAGAATCTTGTCATAGTTCAAGGAATTTGGATTTTAGTAATAAAATGTGTGCTGTCCTGGCAAAACCTTAGCTTGTATACATGATGTGTGCCCCGATAGATATAAGCATCTGAGTGCATGTTTGGAAAAGTCAATATTTCGTCGTCCTTCTGCGTCATATGTAAGTTTACATATACTTCAACGTAAGCAGACTTCATGTTATTTCCAACAGTCTTACGTAGGTCCACATCCTTTGCCTTCTGTAGCAATGATTCTCAATGTCCTGTGTCTATTCTTCTCCTTCGTACATGTCTTCAACCCTTTCCAGCAGCCGAAGTAGAGGTGCGACCGGGTAGGGAAACAAATTGCTGCCGCTGATCCTCTCAATCGAAAAGCGAAGCCTGATCAGTGTTGTCATTACATCGTCCAGAGACTGGGACACAGCGTCTGTCTGACGGCTCAACGTCTGCGGAGTCTGTACAGCGGGAGAGACCGATGAGATGCCTGGCATGTCTGATGGAGTGGGACTGGATTTCTTTGTGTCTTTTGGGGACGTACAGGCAGGCGTTGAGGTCTGAATAGAGGGACTACGATTGAGAGCATCTGTTGGACTCGCTATCCTTTGGTCAGCACCGCCTCGAGTGTCAGTTTTTCTTCTCTTGTTTCTTTGGCAAAATTCGGGCACGGCTGCCTCTTCTTGGCACTGAACGTCACAGGCAAGATGCGGCTCCTCGTCATCAGAGAATGTCTTTGATGTCATGTCCGAAGTCCGTTTTAAATGAGAGTTGGAGTCCTTGGAGGAGGCTTCTTGATGAGAAAGTCTGAACAAATTCCAGTCTCCAAGAATGGTATGCAGGTAAGAGACCAGATACTTTAAGAACTGGGTCTCCGACGATATCAGTAAATCCAGGAGGACACTGGGATCATAGGCTACGGTGTCCAGGAACCTGCCAAAGATCCGATGGGGGTTGAGCTGGTTCGTCCAGGGACAACCAGGTGGCTGCACTGACTTGAAGGCTTTGTACAGATCCAGGCAGCACTGCATGGCCCACACCAGGCCATCATCCTGGTCAGCGAAGAGTTCGAACAACCACATGGGAACATCGGCAGAGGCAGCAAGGTTGAGCTGGCGGCAGACGAAATCAGAGACAACTTGGAGACACCGCCCAACATCTGTCAAAAAGATGGCCAACAAGATATTCAGTCGAAAGAGTCAATCCATCACATCTTCAAATGGAAACCACTTGTCGCCCACTCATTTCCGTGTTGTAGTTAAATATTTTCTCACATTAGCTCACAGAACCCATGAGCCTCTTGACTTAGACTCCATACATGCCATAATACCATGCATATTTTGAGGTGGCCTGTGTCCCTGCTTTGCACTTTGTGCAGGGATTTTTCATCCTAAGTCTCAGTAGAAAAGATACCTATTTGTGGATTACAGTGTACCTTGGTATAACAGGTACCTTGTATTATCAGGAATGAGTACTATGAAGAACAAAGGATTGGGTCCTAATAATGTCCTTGTTACGAATGTTGTGTCAACGGTGCTTTTATTAACAAAGTTTGACTGTATTAAAGTGGTGTTACCTGTTTTATTGGAATTCTTTCCAGAGTTCTCGCTGGTGACAAGTGTTTTCACTGCACACAATATAGCTCGGCAGAGCTTCCTCAGCAGTGCATGATCCCCCGACGAATCGTCTTCGTCGCATCCACCGGGGTGGAAATCACGACCTCCAAAGCCAACGGGCCCACTCCGGTATGGAAAGCGCTCCAAAAAGTTCCCCTTTTCGATCGTTTTCAGAAAAGCCGTTGCAGCGGTGACTAAATCATAGTCCACTGTAGCAGGCAGATGTCCACTTGAATGTGACTGGCCAGAATGTAACGCACTTGTTGCAGAATGGTCCATCAGCCATGAAAAAATGTCCAGGATCCTCTTCAAGACAACAAGGTCCTCACAATACCCTTCAAGGAGATGCGTCAGTGGGGAGGCAAGCTTTGCGGCAAACTCCCGGGCACAGTGTTGTTCCGCCGCTCCGCCGCGGTGTCTCACCAGAGCACGTGTGAGATCCAGGAGTGATACAAGGACGAGCGACACATCTTTGCCATCCCAGTTGACCCTGGCAGTCTTGTCTTCTCCGGCTGGTGGAAGAGAAGCCACCTCCTGAAATATGGCTGGGAGGTCCCCGCGCAGAGTGCGTTCTACCGCTGTTTGAAAATCTAGAGTTAGAGATTTGCAGAGGATGGTCTTATGAAGTGTTTGTTTTGCAGGGATCCGGATCTCAATTAGTCATCCGTCATTGGTTCGCTGACATCAGAGCTTACATGTACCTACTGGACCGAGGGAACCAGCACTGGGACCACTGATCCAGATCCTTGTGAAACAAACAGGCTAATTATCACTACAAATAAAAATCATTTTTTTTAAGTGGATATGTGGATAACTTACAACTATATGGATATGTGGACAACTTACAACTTGTGTAGATTGTCTTCATATGGGGAGGGGCAGAAACGTATTTGAAAAAAAGAAGACGGTAGCCTACGTGTATGAAAGAAAGTTTCGTTAAGTCTGATTGTAATGAAATGTTTGAATGGATACAACCTTTCTCACCCGCATTTGTTTCCTGAATGATTAAGGAACTTTTCCAGTGCAATGCCACATGTAGTGCTTTGTTAATTTTGTTGCTTTTTTCTCTGCCTGTGTTTACAGAAAATTCAACCTTTGGCAATTCCATAAAAAAATAGGGTTTCGTCGTCTTAATTTCTTACATGAGCAGGGAAGAACTTTTGCATTTTTAAAATCATTCAAATGAAATTCTTCTATAGTCTCAGTCAGACATGTTTTTCTGACAATTGCACTTTGAAATTTTACAAAAAATAGCCTTTCAGGAAAAAAAGATCACGTTAAGTGGAAATGTCACATTTATAAATCATTCATCTGTGTTATAAAGGTACCTTGAAGTCTTACTGCCTGGTCAGCCAACTTTTGGAAGACACCCTTGCATGAGGTGTGATTTCGCTCAGGTCCTGGATGCTGTGTATTTGGCTCCTTGTTCTCATCATAGCAGATCTTTGTCAAAAGTAGCCGACAGAGGTCAAAGGTGAAAATTGCATGGTTGACCTGACCAGAATTGACCTCGCTCAAATCTGGGTGATGTTTGGACCTGTTCGGATTGCCAAGACTGTGAATCATCTGAGTGTGATTCTCACCTTTGTCTACCTGTCCTCCGATGTCCTGACCGGAATTGGTCAGACCAGAATTGACCAAACCTGTACAACGCTGAACCATGCATGCCTGACCTGATGTGGTCTGGTCTGAACCAACCTGACCCACACAGATTTGACCTGAATCATTCTGACTCACTTTATGCATGTCAGTCTGACCCAGATCAATTTTCCCCCTCACGACTTCCATCGGACTGGTGTGACCCCTGTGTACCTGACCCCGCTGACGCTCAGTTTGTGAGAGTTGTCCTGATGGGCTCAATGGCCTTCGATTCTGGTCAAAGTGACGGGTGGGTTGCAACACAGTCCTGATAGCGGAAAGACTACAGAGAAGGTGGTGACGAAGGAAGGAGACAGCTGTTTCCTGTATGAACGAGATTCCAGATAAAAGAAAATCAGTCTAAGCACAGAAATGTCAAAAACAACTGATTTATTTTAAACTTTTTATTGAAAACAATAAGGGTAAATTTGCAGCAAGTTCACAGCAACGTTCGAAGCAATTTCACAGCTAGTTTTAGCATTGTGTCATCTCAAAAGAGTGTGAAGTCTAATTCCCCGAATCCTTCAAAACTGTTATTCACCAAGATTTCACGCACTGAGGAAAGCGCATGTGGTATATAGAACCCTGCCACCATAACCTTACACGTATATACATGGGGGCTTGATGCCCTCTGAAAGTTATTGTACAAAGAATGTGCTACTGACTCAGTGCAGATTCCTGAAGGTTCCTCCCGTGTATCAGTGTGGAACCTCCATGCACACATACACTGCAGTGATTTCTGGTCTGAAATAAAAACTCACTGTCCATTTTAATGTCAAAACTGACAAATAACTTTGTGCCATCCATTTTTAACTGCAAATTGAAGGGAGCAACATACTAGTAAGAACACAAAGTCCTACATTACGTCCTGCCTGCCCATTCACAAAGTGGAAACTGTTTTAAAGTATGGAAACATTTGCAGAAATTCATAACTGTAGGGGAAACACTGGCACGCTTTCTTTGGCTGTTTGGGGTGTTATGAGGGTAGACGAAATTTCCGAGTCTGATAGAATGTACCTTGTCAACTGCTGAAGATGCCAACACAGCCTTTGCCATTTTGCATGCCATGAATGCAGACAGCCTGTCTTCTGAGGACATCAGGACACCCTGGAAATATGCCAACGGACAGAAAAAGAAATAGTTTTGAGCAGTTTCTATTACAAATTATCACAAAATGCCTTTCAATTTCAAAGTTCGGATTGTGTGTGATCCACTGTCAAGCGTAAGTTAAATCAGACGTGCAAACTCAGGACACCTGTCAAGTTATGATTACTGAAGCAACACGGGACAATGAATATGAAACATTCGTGATTTTACTTAATTGAAAAGGGGATAACTTGCAACTGGACTAGCGCCATGGCGATGATTAATTAGGTTTTGTTCTCCATATTGCTGGGACCCACACGTTATGAACATGTACATATTTCTGATTGCAAGGGGGTGGTGGCTTCCCCATTCTGACTTTCGGATGATCGACGAAGTCGAAACTTGGCAAATTACATTATTCATACTAGAGCCACGCTGATGAAATTCAACCGCAGTTCGCCGACAAAGACACAGTCATCTAACGACTCATCATATTGAGTCTAACTTGTGACTGCCTTGTGAATGACTTGAAAGATGAAGATCTGCTGAGTAAGTATAGCAAGTCGACCATCAAGATAACCGGTGGCCTCTTTTATGCCAACATTTTGTGACTTGATGTAATGAATTGAATGGTAGAAATTACCAACTCCTCAAGTAGCGATCCGCGATTCACCATCTCAAGCTGCAGAGACAGCAGTTGTAGGCAGTGGACGGCCTCAAACAGCTCCTTGCCAACGGTGAGGCAGAGGAGCTTCCTGTCTCGAGACTTGGCAACAAATGATCTGTTGGTGCTCGTCACACTAGATTCCTCTTGGACCTGCCTCAATGTAAATGGACATGTTCTGATTTTCCAGCAAAACCCCTGGTCAGGCACACTGCTCCTTTCCAGCTGACCATGCTCCATCCTCTGAAGAGTTCCCACCTGGACTTGTGCCGTGTCGTCCGCTCGGAGAAGTTTCCCACTGTCAGCCGGCAGTCGTCTCTGATGAGGACAGCTTTTGTCACCCGGCCGAAAACAGCTATCACTGTCATCAACATCTCTTTGAAGTGAGTCGTCAAGTACTGCATTCGTGGTCTCTGCCAACTTGTGGCGTGTTTGGTCTGATTCACAAATTTCTTCACAACTTTGATCAGCAAACCCTACATTCAGTGGATCTCCTGGTGATGACGTGCAGGTCTCCAGGGGCTGCAACGACACCCTATCTGTGCCGTGGTGTTCTAAATACCCAGTGTCATCCTGTGTCCTCGCTGTGCTTTTCTGTATAGAAACGTCATCCAAACCCCGTTGGTCTTCCACCCCTCTCAAAGCACGGGCATTCTCAGTTCCGTCCTCTCCTCGAAGCCAGCTCTTAAATGAAGACAAGTCTCTCAACTTGCTTGTTCCAGCCATGTGACAGAGACAGGTCTTGCGTTGGAGGTATTCATACAGTTTCGTGACTAGGGCGTCCTGCATAGCCATTATGTACACAGCCTTACTGTGGAAAGAGAAAGCAGATACAAAATAATAATAAAGGAGGTCACGTAGGAAGTAATATTAGAAGCAGTGTTTCCAAATTGGTTAACAATTTGTGTTTGTACATGTATTTCCCTCCATTTTCCTTGGACATTACTACACTAGCCTGGCCTACACACTCACACATGTACTTGGACATATACATGTACAGACATCACTACCTTCTTCCTGCAGAGACGTTATGAACCATCTGAAAGCAATGATGGGTACCTCACTCTTCATGTATCACAGAATGAGCATATTGAGAGAGAGGAGTTTATTTCATGTCGGCAACAAATGAAATCCCAATAATGGGAACTGGTGTATTAAGTTTGATAATTGTACATAGTCTAGATTTTTAATGGGAGGTAAGTGGCATTCGTTGGCAATAAAATCAATACCATACATATGCATGTATTAGAGCCTTGGCCATTAGGCCTACATGTACGTACATGCACCAACCAATGCCACTCACTCGCCAAACTTCAGGAATATAAAGCATCACAGTCACTCAATTTAAAATCACAACACTCTACAAACAACATCCCACATCTGTGTGGATTAGAATTTTCAGGAGGTAAATTCAAAAAAACTGTATTTAGGCCTACAGCAAAGCCGAACTTTCCTTGACTGAGCTCTGTACATACAGGGGCGCGTGCAGACGACACGACGATCATTGAGAAGATTAACTTTACAAAGGGCGCCATCAAGCGGCAGTCAAACCCGACATAACTTGCTTATGCGCTTACGGCTACGTTCACTGCAGGTGGAAGAAGACGTCAAAATTAAAGCCGTAGCTGTAAAACAGCCCAGTCCGATCTACCGGATCATGATCAACCTCCTTTTCACAAAATTCGACCACATTTGAAAGGCAGGCAACGAATGTCGTGTCCCTGGGGACAAATTATAGGCAACTCCATCGATTGTAGTGACTACAAAATAGTTGCTGTACAGTTTCGCGGTACGTACGTGCGTACGTACGTGCGCACCGTACCTAGCTGGCCCGTACCGTCAGTGTCGTCCGTGAATGCAATCATCCCGTTCCTGATGGCGAGATGTCGGGGGAAAAATTCGTGACGAAGCCCAACGACATGAACGAGTAAAGTTGGTCTTTCCGAAAATGTCACTCTGACTTGCAGTTGCACGAATTGAGCACGACCAGGACCTGCTGGTTGGCAGGGTAGGCAAAATTTATTTAGGCCTAGGCCAAAATCTGATTTTCGTGTACATGTATGTACACAACTTCACAACTTGCCACAAGTCTCGTCAAGCTCGCACCGGTACTCGTACCGTAGTCGCACTGTAGTATGCAGTTGGGCTGGCCCAACTATTGACATATTGTTGACCAATTTCTGTAGAAAGTTGCTTTAACCTTATGATCCACGTTTATGCATGAAATAGGCCCTACAGCATGTACATGTACAGGCTACATCATGTACAGTGTATAGCATTTCATGTACACGTATCATATGTATGTGCATGTAAGTTATGACATGACCTGATGACATTGTCATTGTTAATTATGACTTACAGGATGTAATCTTTGGCACACGCTGGCATGTGCACATTGGACCTCTGTGCTGTCATGGCTGCAGTTAGGTCAGCCCAACTGTAGCACTCTAGTTGGGATGGGCCTAGCCCCACAAATAGGGCTGTAGTGGCTCTCTTTTACAATCTGTCTCTTATCTGTCGCCACCACAGCCCTACTTCAAGGCATATCTTTAATTCCTGAAATCCAAACTGCATGACTGTCACAAACTTTGAATCCTAGTATCTTCGGAAATGAGAATAACCCGACAATTTTACTTACACTGGCGTATTCCTCAGAGTTTGGACTTTTATGCCCCTTGTCCATGTAGGCCTATGAGCACCCTAAAGCTTTCCAAAACCGTGTATTTTCCGATGTATAGCGCCTTGAAAAAACTGGCCTGTAGTATTATGTTGACCATGGGCAGTGCCACTACAGCCCTATTTGTGGGGCTAGGACGGGCCCAACTATAGTTGGGATGGTTGTAGTAGTGTGGCACGGACCTTCGCGTCCGCTCCATCCTTAGCGTGGTGAAATCTTTGGCGCACCCTCTTAAAATCGTAGGCACAATTTTCTTTGACACATGAATGATCTTTAGTCTCTCCACTTTTTAATGACCATTTATTGAATGATTTCACTCATGTTATTCTGGTATTTTCCAGTCTTTTTTGCCTTTACCCATTCACTCTCATGGTCGCACTCTCACACGCCATCTTTAAAATAAAATGAGTCTGTTGAACTTTATATGTCACTTGACCCTGGCCCGCAGACGGCTGTTCCATGTCAACACATATCTTACATGTATATACAACTAAAGTCTCACGGATGGAACGTTTGTGCAGGTAGGCCTAAGTTTATTTTTTGGTAGAGTTCTTGACATGGAACAGCCGTCTGCCTTTACCCGTTGAATGGGTAAAGGCAAAAAGACTGGAAAATACCAGAAAAACGTGAGTGAAACCATTTGATAAATGGTCGCAAGGGTTCCGGAAGCTCACTGTGTGACCTTTTAATTTCAGGCTCTATTCGGTGACAAGAGTCACAATCCATTACTGCGGTATTCCCACATGGGTGGACAGATTGAAATGCTCCCTCGGCCAATGGGAATGCACTGTTAACCCAAATCACGCATGCGTCAACTTAATGCCCCTGAATGACGCTTACACCGCAAGTAATGACGTCAGCAAATCGGTCTACCATTTCTACATGTATACCAGTACATGTACGTTGTTATTACGTGTAGGTATGGACCATTCCACTCTGGTAATGCTAGGGTGTGCCATAGCACGTGCTCATTATGCCATTTTGTTCGACTTGGCAACTCACTCTTGCAGAGAAATATTGTGCATTGTGGAAGAAACGCCAAGTAAAAGTATACAGGTGATTCGAATGAGTCCTGTCGGGCATGTGCAGCCAGAAATGAGACGGCCGAATCCACACGGTCTTCCTTGTACAGGCTCTGTCTTCTTCGGTCTCATTTCTGGCTGGGTATACTGTCGGGTGTGAGCCACATGAAGTTAAAAGGTTGAGAAAGTTTCTACCGGTATATGGTGTCGGGGTAAATTTGCCTTTGGGCAGCTCAACCACAGCACAAGACTGGGACGTTCCAACTAATACATGGACATGTAATTGGAACAGATGCTATAGTTGGGGCGTAAAGGCTACAAGTACATACACGTGTACATGTACGAATGAGTACCCACAGAAAACTGTTCCCCATGATTAGCATTTTTAACCATGTACATGTAAGTGATGCCTGAGTACATACATATAGGATACATGGTTTGAAATGGTCCAGCAGATACATTGGACTGGTATCTAGTTCTGTTTGATATCAGAGATGCTTCATTGAAGAGCCTAACATTGCACTTGTGATGGTACATGTACTTACTGTTTGTGATGTTGCTTTGTCCATTTGTGTTACTGCAGATCAGGTCTTCATGCAGCAGTTCAAGTAAAAAGCTGTGACCTTTAATCTGTGCGTTCGTCGCTCCCCTTTGCTGCAAGCAAGTTGGTGTGAACAGTGTAAACTGCCGTGGCTGTACGGCCGGAAGCACCATAGCACTGCGTCACCTTCGAAGCGACGCACACTTGGTTTTGATTGCGGACTTCGCCAACGACCATGGATCGGCAAGGCGTGCTGGCAAGGTTCGTGGAGGTCACAGGCTGCGACCAGGGACTAGCTGCGGATCTCCTAGCAGGTACGCTGGCCTACATGATGGGATAATATTGTGGCATGTGCTGCAGCCCGGAGTCAGAGCTGTCGAGTAGGGCTAAGTCAATTCGAATAATTCACTATTCGAATATTCAACCTTCACTTTGATAAAATATCCGAATATTCGGTTGTACTGCCTGGCAGATTGTTGATGAACAAACCATATGACATAATGGCAGGTTCCTCAAACTATGGACCATTAGATAACGCTCAACTTTGGGGGTTCATTTTTTCTGAAGTGAACAGCAGTGAATTAATTCCAATGTGTGATGTAATGAGCGAAGTCATGGCTGATATCTGGAACAATGATGACCGTGTCAACCTTTCAACTTAATTGGAGTTAAATAATTAAAGTCTTGAACGTCAGCAAGACATCTGCACTNAAGGGCAAAACCGTTATAGTCAGCATTTTTGACGGACATGAACAACCTGTGGAAATCCTAGCCAATAGAATTGACTGAGGAGTGATAATCCCTGAGGTTATTTTACACAGATTTATATGTGGTGAAAGGTGATAATATTTACACATATTAAAACCATCATCACGAAATAAAAAAACACCTCTCACAATTAATAAGGTCCCGAAGTCGGCAGTCGCGAATGTCATTCGATTCTGTCATTAGTGTCAAAAAATTGACTGCCAAAAAAGCAAGTAAAATCCATATATCGATGTGCAAGACAAGCTTTAAAAAAGAGTGCAAAAAGCACTGCCAAACCATCATCCTTTTACGACTGGACCGATCCCATTTTTTTTTAAGTACGTTTCCGAAAACCGCAGTCCAAAATACCGATCGTGGCGATTTTGCGGCTTCCATCAATCTCTCTCGGTGATGTTAGAAAAACATTTGCTGCATCGTGGCCTGTTTGACCTTCGACATCAACCCAGATAGTTTGCCCTCTTTCTTATTCGATATTCATGAGCCCCTCCACGAAATGGCGACGCTCCGCAATTTTTCTCTTCGGAACAAGGTTTCTCAAAAGAAAATCCGTCATTCTGAAATAACGTTAAAAAAAAAATGACATTCGAAACATAAAATACGATCCATGATGAAAATCTAATGCTCAGAGTTGTTAATTTTTATTTGATTTTCAGTGGAGATATCTCCAAAATAACCGGCAAAAAGAAAAGCGCGCATGGAATTTTCGAGCACTACATGTAACAGCATTTTCAGCATTCTCGTACGTCATGCAGTTTTGTCAAAATCTTCGAACGTCATCAAAATTCTGTCAAATATGGCATTCATAGCGAACATATTGTACTCATAAATTTTGGATGCAGCCAAACTTAAAGATAATTTTTGGTGGTTGAAAGGTATAAGACCTGGCAGATACATGTATGGTAGTAAAGTGAGAGTGATTGTAAACGGTAAGAGAATGAAGAAAGCCAAACTTTTCTCATCATTTTCCGTCAATTTTGTGCCCTTTTTTCTGTGGCTTATATTTTTTAAAAGTTATTTCTTAGGTGCTTCACACATGCAAGCCAGCACCGGTTGTTGTCATTACAGAACAGTTTTTTCCAGCTGACTTTTGAGATGATATACAGTGTACACGTAGTGGTGGAAAACATTTTTGCCCCTGGCTATGAAAGGATTGCAAATCTTTTTTTTTTTCTTTCTTTCTTTTTTTCGTTAAACTGATTTAGTTTCTTTCCAAGTAGTGTTTTCCCCGATGAGACTTACGTGTAGTTTTTTTGCATTTTTCATTTCGCAGATCTGGGGGTTACTAACTTGTTGAGCCTGGTACACACGTACCGGCAGAAGAGAAACACAATTAGTAAAGGTCTTTATTTCCCGTCTTTGGTGGGGGGGAGGATGGCTGCTGATTTGAAGAAAGCAGCAAAGTGCAATACAGAAGGCAACTATGGCACTCCAGCCTGCCTTAATTTAACAATGATAATAATTAGAATTTGTTCTGTCCGTGCTACGTACCGTATTTACCTATGCATGGTGTATGTACATGTACATGTCTCGTACATGGACATGTACCGGTACTGTACATGTACATGTGTGCTGTCATAGGGCAAGCTGGTAAACAAACATGTACACACCCAACTTCTGCATGTGCGGTACATACATACATGTACATATGGGATGATGCATGTATGATGTGCATGTACATGTATCTGCACTGGTATCACATATATACACATGTACATCCTGCATGTACATGTACCATACACACCCATGTGATGAGGAGTAAAACAATAGTTTAGTGCCCATACAGTGGGAACCGCATAAGACAGTGCACCGGTATACATGTACACTGTACATGTACAGGTGCAACTTGTGCGGTGACTGATTCAGAAATTATTCAGTCCATTATCGTCTGTCAATGAGTGCCAGAGCTTTACAATGTACATGTATGTGTATACTTCAAGGTTAGTGATTTGTCAATCAAGTGCAAAGCCCTGACAGAGAAAGTGAACTGTAGGCCTGTTCTTTACCAGTGTCATTGTCCAGCCAACCGTGGGAATCCTGCATACTTGTGGTTTTCAAGTCAGAAGCCATATAAGACATGTACATGTACAGTACAGTACTGTATACCATTGCCCAATACACGTACCGGTATGCTTTGGGTGAAACTGCATACAAATGTACATGTATTCTTCAAAATTTTAGATACTGTATATTTTTCCCTTTCCTTCCCAACTAAATTACTAGTAACATACATGTACCTGTCGTTTCAGTTTTAAGCGGACCTTTAACCCCAAAAGAGCTTGGGGATCTGTCCCCCCTCAATATTTTTCCCGATATCGCCACAGTGCATTTTTATTTCAGGAGTATGAGCCTTTTGGAAATTACCGTACTTTAATTCTTGCGTGGTCATTTTGGCACCAATTTTGTGAAAATCAGACATGACGTACATGTACAGTTCTTGCACGGTGCACCCTTCCGAGATGGGTCAGCCAACAAAACCCAAAACCATATCGATGAAACTTCATGTGT